TGCATATATATATATATATATATATATATATTTATATTTACAGAATTATACATATATGTAAATATAAAATATATATATTTCAGTTCAGATGCTTCAACCAAAAAAGGGTTTCACTTTTTTAATTTTTTTACGATGAATCGTAGCCAACAGGTTGTATGACGAGAAAGAAATGTCAGAAAAAATTATGATTAAACATATTTTTCCTGCTCTTGATGTTACTAGTAATTTGAGACGCAAAACGAATAATAAAATGATTTTGCATTTGCAAAATAAAAGTAAGCCTGTTCATTTACGCCAAGTGAAACAGCAGATTTGAGGGGAGTGCACAAAAAAACATTTTTGGTAGTTGTAGACTAAGGCATTCAAATGAAAAATAAAATCTGCATATCCTTCTAATGCTCAGCATTGGAAAAAAGAAACGATTAAACTTGTTATGAGAAATCGTTGCCTTGATTTACAATCACCATTCTACTCTAAACATTTGGTTCAGTCTGCCGATGAGTGAAATGTATGTGAAAACTTACCAGCCGAACACATAATTTTTTTGTGGTGCGGTAGTGGAAAAAAAGTGTCATAGCGAAGAACGATAATAATCCGCCGAAGGAATTGTTACAGATAAGAGGCACACAAATATGAAAGGCTGGAGAAAAATAAAACACTGTTTAATGAATCAACAGTGAAGTTAAACGAGTGACATTGGCTGCTGGTCTTTCCAATAACAAAAAAAACTGGTTGTATTTTTGTTAGTTCAACCCTTCCCTTTTTTTTCTCTCGTGTTTTTGAAACTTATTCAGCTTTCTTTGTTACAGGAAATAAAAAGCAATTGTATTTTAGAAATTCAAAACGAAAACCTAGGAAGGAGAAAACAAAAAATATGAAGTAACATTGATTATACCGCTTAGGTAGTAGTTTTTTAAGGAATTAAGTAACTGTGTACTTTTTTGCAAGGAAATATTAGATGAGGAGTATACCGATGATAAGAAAAAATAAGCACACATTTGCACAAAGCATGTTAAAATACATAGGCGCCAAATTTCTAATAAACATTTTTAGTACTGATTTCCTGTCTACCAATGGCAATTATTTTTGCTTTGCTTCTTGTAGCCATGAAAAACGGTTTTATTAAGCAGGGGGTTACTAAACACTTTAGAACAGTAGTTGAAGCCGATAAACTATGACATTACTTACCCAAATTTTAGCCAGACCAAGTGGTACAATAAACAAAGCTGTGGGCAAGTCTAAGTTATACCAGACTGTCAAAAAGTAAAACTTAGACCTTAAATAACTTTAGTGCTAATAGTTGAATAAAATTACTGCTAAAATGATGCATTCAAGTGGTTATTTGTAAGCAAACGATCGGCAAAGAAAATTTTTTTTTAGGCGCAAATCAGTTAGCAGCCTACCGCTTTCTTCTCTTTCCATTTTGAAACCTGCATTATCATAACTTTTGAACAGTCAGATTAAACAACTATGAGTAAATTATAAAGAATTATGTGACAGGTAACTACTTCTCTTTTTTTTTTTTCTTCCAATCCCAAAGTTCAAATCAAAATTTAACACCACCATACAAGTAATTTCACCATCCGACCGTGCTATATCCCTCACAGGTTATCCAACTACGTTGCAACTTGCAACAGTATGTCTGCAAGATTTCAATTTGAATATCTTTCAAGAACTTTATAAACATTTTTCTACCATTTGAACAATTACCATTTTTTACTACACAACGGTTTTGCCTCGCTTTCCAACAAAAAAATCATGAACATGTACGAAATAAATGACTTGTAAGCTGATTAAATCACTACCACCTTAACAAGTCAAATATGTCCACAAATATCTCAACCGTTTAACTGGTTTTCTAAGTCACCTACAAATACAGAAAAGTAAAGTTAGTTAATGGAATGAATTTGTACGAGGTAATTAAATAAACATTTAAACAGAATTTGAACTAAAAAATTGAAAATGAAACCTAGGTGTACTACTCAACTACGCGTAAGCTAAACACCGCTTCCAAACCAAACGACTTTCATTCAGAATAGAACAAATGTCGAATCTCTTGATCTTGCTTCCAAGTATCCTGCACAAAAAAAACTAAAAAACAAGCTGCAAATCTAAATTTTGACTCAACTGTTCACTGTAAAAGTGAAACTTCAAGCTCTCTACTGGCACTTTGGTATTCCGCAAAGTGTTAACTTAAGGAGTAAAAAAAACGAGCTTTTAGCTGCAGACCGAAATTCGTGCTGTGCAACCAGCATTTGCTTAGGTGACAAACGCTTTTCTGTTTCCGTGATAAAACCTTTATCGACAACTCTCACGCGGCTTAAAAGATGTTCATTATAACAACTAAACTCGTTAGCTTCAAGCTGTACATAACAGGATTCAAGAAGTCTCGTTTTCTAAAGCGTTGAAATCCTTCATTAAAAAAACATTACACAAACTACTCTTTTAAGATATTGCAAAAAAAAGTTATAAATCGATCAAATGCTCTGATTTTCACCACCAAAAGTGTACAAATTTGGGCACAGTTTGACATATTTTTTCGTCGTTGCTTATTCTTCAAAATTTCACGTTCTAACTGCAGGAGGATTGCATCTTAACAACGCTATCTCCCCTACTCTATGAGTCTGTTCTCAAAACCATTTTTTTCTTAAAAGCTACTTAAACTTACTATGCTGGCAACGAGATTTTTTTTGAGAAAAAATCTACTAGTGTAAACTATGACTGCTTCTTTTCATCACACTTTTCCAAAACCATGCATTAGTTTGCTGAATCAGACTCTCAGTTCGTTCTAAAACAACACTTAATTTTTCCAATCAACCCTTTCAGCGTAATGCTGTCAGCAGCAGAATAAAAATAACAGGAAGAAACAGTAAAAC